TCTTTGAGTGTTCCATCCCCTCTATAATTTGCCCATATTGCTGGTACTCTGATTTATTACAAAAACCAATATACAATAATGACTTCAAATAATTTAAAATCCTCCGGGTGGCCTAACAAATGTTTAGAAACAGCATGTCCCGAATTGTTACCAATACAAGAGATCCCAAGTTATGTAAGGTAATAGTTTGTTAAAGGAATGGCAAATTCCACTGTCTTTTAGAAGAAATGAGAATACATTAACTTTGGTGTTCCTTAGTTACAACATTTGCTTGCATATTCAACAATACGAGTCTGTTTAATAAATGGATAAATGAATGAATGAATGAATGAATGAACAAGGCAATTAATGAACTGGTGATTCAGTTTTTGTACATTAAACCCACAGGAGTTAAGTAACATGCCTTCTTAACCACAGAGCTGGGGGTTTTATTCCAAGCCCACAGAGAGAAGTCCTAGGATGGACAGATGGGACTCTGGTCCTCCTCAAGTCACACGTGAAGCCGTACCTCTGGGTCGGGGACATCTGCCAAATTATGCCCCTCTCTGCCCAGCCCACACTGCTTCAGTGGAACTGAAGGAACATGCAATCATGCAGCTGTAGAACCACGGAGGCTGTGAGGTTGGGTGGTGGCTGATGGTGTGAGAAAACGAGTGCTGAAGAAGGAACGTGGTGTGAGAAGATGTGGGCTCAAGTCTTGGATCAAATACCTCCTAGTACATCACCTACCCTCTCTGAACCTCAGTTTCTCCATCTAAAATGAGGATAACAAGATCTCATTTGGCGGATTGTGAGGATTAGACGAAGAATGCACATATATATACTTTCTAGACCATGAACTCTCTCAATTTACAGACCTAAGAATACAGAAGGTTAGAAGGTCAGAGGACAGGCAAAATGTAGTGGCTCAGGTCCTCAGCTACCCATTCCTTGGCAAAAGTCAGTGATAGAAGGTCTTTCACTGACCCAGCTGTCTGACACCTCAGTACCCCCTCCCTTGCTCCCTCCCCTCTAGTCACACACTGAGAGCTGAGAAGTTGTACAGCCTCAGCCCGAGGTGCTGTGTCATGCTCCAGCACTTGTCATCCACCCTGTATACAGGAGGAGAATGAGAGGTGACACCTGGAGCTGAGGTGGGAAGCAGGAGCTGCCTGCAGGGACTACTACAGAAGTGGATGTCAAGAAGTGTGGAGAGGGAGCTGTGCCAGGCAAAGCACCAGCCCTGGGTCAAAGGGCACAGTTCCAACTCCTGGATCTGCCATCAAGAAGCAGCTGATCTTACACTGAGCACTTAACCTGCATGCTAGACAATTCACATCTAAAGCCTGATCCGCCTGCCTCCCTGGGCTGGTATTATAACAACTGGTATTTATTGGTATTTCACTGCTTCTAAGACCCTAACAGTTGTAAGATGCCCCATGATTTCCTTCTTAGTGAAGAAAGAAAGAAAAATGCTGTCGATGAAACTATACAATGTCATTATTATAAGATATAGGCTGATGTTGAAGATGCTCCAGCTTGAGAAATGTGCATTGCAGAAGCCATGCAATGTGGTACATGAGAGCGCTGTGTGAGCATAAGACTAAATCTGATGATCCATCCCTGTGGGATAGAACCACAACCCTCAGCACCCTCAGCACAAATCTCAAGAGTGTCAAGCCCCTCCCATGGAGCACATTCACATGCGAATTAAAGGGAGAAGGAAATCAGTAGGCGTAGAAAGAAGATGGACAGTCTTATTGGTTCAGATGGACAGCAGTGGTCTTTTGGCAAAGTCTGAAGAGCCGCTCAGAATGGGATATTGGAGGGCTGAGTAGGGAGAGAACAAAGAGGACAAGTAACTTGGCTTAGAGTTCACCACCTGTGCCCACTCATGTGCACCCCCACACATGCAGGAGAGGACACAGAGGTCCTTCCTGGCCATGTTACAACAGAAGGACCCCGCTGACTCCTACAGATCTGTTCCTCGGGCCACATGGCAACCCTAACGGGAAGGCAGTGCTTACAGCTTCCATCAGTCTCAGTCTTCTCTCCTCCTGTCAGAGTCCACTCCTTCTCCTCCCCACACATTCTCGCTCCCAGACCCCACACCAGAATGGCGGATTCTCCTTTAGAAGCACTTCAACCTGTCACAATGCCTCTTAAAATGTGACAGCCGAAAGATGTACATTGGAGCACTTCTAATAATTAATCACAATAGCCCAAACCAGAAAGCAATCTAGGTGTCAAATAATTGTAAAAACGGAGAAATGTACGTCTTCTATGTATATCCATTTAATAAACTGCTTTTTTACCAAAATATGGAGTAACATGTACTATGCCCACACCATGTTCAGAAAAGGCAGCAAAATTACAAACACTGAAAAGAAAGCTTCCTTAACATTAAAAGGGTTGGAAGGAAATACCACAAAACAATAAGAACTTTTCTTAATCCGTGAACTGCTTTTTTCTTTTGACTTTCCAGTATTTTACCTATTTTCTTTAATGGACACTTAATAGCTTAAAATAAAAATAAACGGACTAGATGAGAAATTTCAAATGGCCTCTGAATATAAAATTCAGCAGGACCAAGAATTCACACAATCCTAACATATAATACACATGCGTAATAGTATTTTTCTTCCTGACAGAATCACATTTCTAAATGACTCAGATTCTCTTTTATACCTTTCACTATATAGTATGTATTACTTATTTTAGGGACATTAAAAATATCGCCAAGCTATTATCAAAAAGTCAAAAGATAACAAGCGTTGCTGAAGATGTGGAAAAAAGGCAGCCCCTGTGCACTGTGAGTGGGAATACAAATTGGTACAGCCACGATAGAAAACAGTACAGAGGTTCCTCAAAAAATTAAAAATAGAAATACCATGAATGCAGCAATCCCACTTCTGAGTATATATCCAAAGGAAATAAAATCACTATCTTGAAGAGATACTTACACCCCCACATTCATTGCAGCATTATTCACAATAGCCAAGATATGACAACATCCTAAATGTCCACTGATGGATGAATGGATAAAGAAATACACACATGTGTGTGTGCGCATGCGTGCACACACACACACACACACACACACACACACACGCGCGCACGCACAATGGAATGTTATGTAGCCTCAAAAAAAAAAAAAAGGAAGGAAGGAAACCCTGCCATTTGTAATGACATAGATAAACCTGGAGGGCATTATGCTAAGTGAAATAATTTAAGTACTAAAAAGAAAGATACATAGTGCATGATTTCACTTACATGTAGAGTCTTAAAGAAAAAAATCAGACTCACAGTAACAGAGGAATGAATGGTGGTTACTAGGTATTGGGGGTGAGGGAGACATTGGTCAAAGAGTACAAACTGTCATCTATTGATGAATAAGTCCTGGAGACCCAATGTGCATCATGGTGACTATAGTTGATAATAATGTATTATACACCTGAAATCTGCTGAGAGAGTAGAACTCAAGTACTCTCAACACACACACATACCAGGTAACTATGAGAGATGATGGAGATGTTAATTAGCCTGATTGTGGTAATCACTGTGCAATGTATATCAAAACATCACATTGCACACCTTAAATACACACAATTTTTGTCAATCATACCTCAATAAAGCTGAAAAAAATAAAACATAAAACACATTGCCCAGGTGTGCTGCATTGTCTATGACCATGCACTTCTGAAACACTATGTACAAATTATCTTTATACACTAAATCATACTTAAAATTCAGTAGAATTTTCTTTTAGAAGAGTAACCTTCAGAAAATCCTTTTGTAAGGCAACAGATGTTTTTAAACATCGTTGTCGTTGTCTCTACTTATTTATCTGTTCCCTATATTGAGGGGTTGGCTGCTTATGAGCTCCATTAGAACATTCCAGTCCTTTACACCTTTGACTTTTTTCTCTTTCTCGTGCTCACAATTGGTGTGAAGGTTAAAAGTATAAGTGTTATGTCTATTCCACAAGACAATGAGTAAACGTGAACATTCTCAAGCTCTTGTTCTCCTCAGACTTTATTGACTTCCACTCCTCTGTTCTGTGGAAAATAATTTCCTCTTTGCTCCCGCTCCTTTTGGTCAATCATAATGGTGGCTCCTAGTGCCCCCCTCCTCACTTTTCTACTACATTCTCTTCTTTCCCACACAGATTTGAGCTACTGTCTGACAAGCATCTGGGTGTGGTGATTTCCACACCCCTTGCTGTCATACCCACACAGGACATGGGCACCCCCGTCAGGCCTGGACCACTCCCCTTTCATACAGGAACCGAAAACCACCTGACACAAAGCCCGGTGAGACATACCTACTACCACCAGTCCTAAGGTCCATCACGTATGCTGCTGACGGTGCTGGACAGGCCCCAATAGAGGTATACTATACTCATTTTCAAAAAAACGATTTATCAAGTATTCAAATAAATCTACTGCCAATAAATGCACGCTGCCTATGACACTGCATGGGCAACAATTTAGTACTGCGTATCAAACATTTTAATGTGATTCAATTTTATACCTCCTCACGTTAATAAGTCTGCAAATCATAAAAAAATTCTGTTTTCAGGACACAAGTCTCAATTCTCAGTTAAGTAAATATCCTTGGGGTTCTTCTCCAGTGTTCAAAGAAAAACTGCGCTTTGGGCCCAGCTTTTGGGGGTGCCCCTCAGGCTATGGCAAGCTGCTTGCTTTAGTGAAAAGGCTCGCTGGGATATATGTGTCCAGCACTAGCCAAGCACAGAATGGAAAACCGGAAGCGGTAGCAGCCACACCTTGGTTCTATAACCTCTGTAGAATACCACATGCATCTCCGCAGAGTACCCATACTCCCCTGCAGGTGGGTTACCTATGGTCTAGCCCCATGGGGAATCTTGTCCTTGAACTTTTTTCCTCTGTCCCTATTCCATGGGCTGCTGCCTTCCCACCCTTGAGTTCCTTGCACCAGACACTTCATGACAACAGGTGCATCTTCACACCCAGAACAGGAAAGACAGGAAGAAGACTCACCCACTGAGGACCACGATGAAATCCATGACATTCCAGCCATTGCGGAGGTACGAGCCCTTATGGAAGATGAACCCCAGGGCCACAATTTTGATACCAGCTTCAAAGCAAAAGATCCCGATGAAATATGGTTCTGTCTTTTCCTGTGGGATGAAGAGCAGAGGTGCCGGTAAGGCAGGGAATATACTTCATCAGATTCAGACAAAGGCACATCCTGGCCACCCCCTCCACTCTGACCAGTCCTGTCTCCTACAGGACGGCTGGACATCTGCCCTGGGCCAGTCCCATGTACAGGTAGGAAGGGCTTAGGGAGTGCACAGGAGCAAGGGAAGTCTCAGGAAAGCCAGCTGCAGAAATGGACGGATGTAGGGGTAACACCAAGGCCAGGCTTCTTCCCAGGGGCATAACTGATGCTTCTAGCTTTGCCTTGAAGGGGGTGGCTTTTCCATCGCTGATCTTCACTTACATTGGAAGCTCAAGGGTTCTCATCTGCTGGTAATCAGGCTGGAGCCACTTATCCACACATTGGAGTTTAAGCAATTAATTTGCCCTCTCTAGGGGGAATACATCAGACATACGAATCATTGCTTTAAGGTGAATATGGACATAAGATCTGGGAAGTTCACCACAGTGAAAGCACATAGGCTTTGAGATCCCTCAGCCTCTCTTCTCTACCCTCCCTTCTCCCTCTCACTTCAAAAGTCCCTTAGAAAGGGGAGCGAACTGAATGGCCCTTGTGCCCCCCTGCTTCCATCTTGTCTGGCTTCCATGCAGCGTATACACAAGTGTTTGTGATGCCCTGAGAATTTCCTGGGAGCAGGAGTTATAAAGGTCAGTCCTCTTGTCCTTATACAGCCCAATGGGATCTGTCACGAGCTTGTCCCTCGGCAAAGAACAAACTCTTCACAGAACTGTAGGTTCACAGAACTGTAGGTGGGAGGGGGCCAGGAGATGAAGCAAAGGAGAAGAAACCAGGGAAGGGAAGGACAGGGGGAAACACAAGAAGGAAGGAGGCACATACCAGTCTGCGGGACATCGGGGTCTTGTCATCCTCAGGAAGATGCTGTTCCAGGGCCAAGACAATGCAGTTGGCAATGATGGTGGCCAAAATCATGTACTCAAACGGCGTAGGAAAGGTGAAGTTAAGGAACAGATTCACCAAAGAGACAGGGATGCAGCCTCCAAGACGGCTGTGCACATAAATACACAAAATTCATCAAAATCCATGTTATGTCTGCACAGTCTGCAAGATCTATATCAGCAAACAGGCAGGCAAGGCAGTGGATGGTCCTTAGCATGGGAACCCATAACCATTTCTGACTGGGCTCTAAACACAAAGCATCTTGTCCAAGAAAAGGAAGAATGTAGCCAATAAATAATACAGTTAGACATACGGTTGATACTTCAGATACTTCGTGAATTCAATGACATATCCGGGAATTAAGCAGGGCTGAAAATGGACACAGAAAGAAGGGAAGAAGAAACACTGATGTTGTGGCAGGCTGTTCTTCCCAGGCTTCAAACCACCGCACTGTACGATGATGCTTCAGCAAGGATCCAGCTGTGGCTGTCCGTTGCTGCCTCTGGGCATCACGTCTGGGGTCTCCTCCTCTAGAACCTCTGCTCAACTGAGTGGAAGAGCCCTTGGAAGAAGAACAATTCTCTCCATGTGAGCTCTCTTCTATTTCAATATCCAATCCAAAAAAATATTTAATGGGGTCAGGAGAAGCTTGCCTTGTCCCACCTTATTTTCTCCTAAGTTTCTACATGGATAGCAAACAGAGAGACACATCATGAGTCTGAATCCAAGACAGCGAAGTCAAGGCATCTAAAAACCAAAGTACAAATGAATGGCTAATGGATTCAGGCTTTTTTGTGTTCCATTGTTCTGAAGACCGATGAGGGGGCTCCCTGGGCCTCTCTGAAAGACAGGACTATGATTCAAGAGCCTGCATCCTGCCTATCCTGAAGAAAGGTTGTGTCACAAGCCCTGGGAGAGTTAGAGGGGGGACTGTTACCAGAGACAGAGGGAATCACCAGTTTCCGGAGTCAAGTGATTCTAAACATTGGATTTCATTCCATAACTGTTGTTGTAACAAACACAAGTGAGCTGTTGCCACTGGTCTTACCAAGCAACCTATGCTCTGGCAGATTCTAGCATCCAGGCAGGAGAAAAGAGTAGATCTGGCCAAGTGGGGACAAGGCAAGGGACCATGCTCCTTGTCTCCCCACATATCCAGGCCTCCGGTGTAGCATGTAGGGCCTCAACCTTCCCTACGGAATACAAGTCATAAATATGCCCCAGATGCGTCCTCATCCCTGCCATGATATGTTAGTGCCCATCAGTGGTAGGTGGACATTCAGGGTGTCTGTGAGGAAGGGCAGGGCACAGGGCACCTACAGGCAGGGGTGCGTGTGCTGTGCGAGGAGCTGTGAGCTGCCCTGGTGCAGGAATGGGAGGCTGCAGTAGGTGAGGCAGCCAGCTGCATCTGAGCCTCCAGACATTTTCATCGTACTCAGCAGTGTCTAGGGCCTTCTCCTCCCCAAGACTATGCACCCATGAGTCACCGCCCACTCTTCTGCAGCTGGCCATCCTTCCTTCCCACACACCCCCAGTTCATCCAAGACCGGTACTCTAGGGACAGCTCTGCTGGCTTTGGCTGCTCTGTGGCTCTGCCCCCAGATCTGAAAACTGGATGGGCTCAGAGGACCTCAGAGCCAGCACCCTGCCTCCCACATGCCACTGTGTCTGTTTAACCCTCCCAGTCAGAGGGGAATCTAACCTCAGGGATCGTCCCTCAGCACACCCAGCCATTCCTCCTCACGCAGTCTCTCTGGGAACCAAAGTAGGCCCCTGAGAGCTAAACATGCCAGCAGACACACTCCACAGATGCCCGGCTAGTGTGCATGCCCACTTTCTTGGGACAAGCCCCACCCACAACCTACCTAGGGCCCCCAGTATCCACTGATCACAAAGGGGGTTCTCTTCACTCCCATCACGGGCTCTGGCCCAGAGCTCCAACCAAGTGTAGAGCGACCAGGGATCACACTGCCCAGAGACAGTGTGGGACCTGCTGTCCCATAAGCCCTCTGAAGAGGCTGGCTGGTCCTGGGCCACCCAAGATCCCCCAGAACCAAGTGGCAGAATGAAGATGGGAGTGCCAGAAGTGGTTGCTGAGGCACCCAGGCCTTTTCCTGAGAACATGCCTACCAGTCACGACACACGTCAACAGAAGTTGAGGGCATTTAGGGCAGTGTTCCTAAAATGCAGCCCACGGGATACGAGCACTACAGGAACTTGCAATCACATCAATGAGGGAAAGCCGGAATTCAGGAAAGCGAGCAGGTGTCCTCCCAGCAGGACTTCCTGGAGCCTTTCGCACGACTGTACTATTGTAAACAGTGTGCACCGCCTCCCCCAAAGGGGGTGAGAATGGTACACAGCATTCCCTGACTCGTTCCACTGTATCATCCTTCTATCAGAACATCTCTCCTGGGAATGGTGTCGGAGGAACGTATTTGGGGAGCTCAGACACAAAGGGCATATCTCACTGCCGGTCCCCAAGTGTGAGGAGGAGGGCCGGTGCTCCGGCAGGAGTGACACTAGTGCCTCTGCCACCTCTCACCTCATCCTTGTTCCCAGCAAAACTGTTCACAAAGTGTGAGGCTCAGCTGCCCTTCACCATGGCCGGAAGTGGCCTGAGCAAGTTCACAAAAGCTGCCCAAAAGGTCCAAGGAGCCCAGCAAGTGACCTGGGAAGCAGGGCTGGGGACCACGATGCTCTCATTCAAGCGGCCCACATCAGGAGCTCTCCTCGGTCTGCTTGGGTTCGAGGATTGCTTTCTGGGATTCGGGCTTCTTCCCCTGAAAACCTTAAAGTGATAACCACAGACTTAAAAGTGCATGAGCTCGTAGTTGCTGACTTGCAGGCACAACAGGTCATGGCGGCTATGTGCCCCCAGGCCTCTCTACCCCACAATACTTGCTTGGACTGTCGCAGCCCCTCTGTGGCCCCCACTCCTTGTTCCCTGCTTCCACACCTGCGTTTCTCTAGCCAGATCACCTAAGCATACAACTCCCTGCAAGGACCTTTAAGCTCACCTAGTCCAGAATGCCCAGTGGCAGATATAGGAGGCTTCTGAGAAACACAGGAAGGTGTGGCCATCACACCCCAGAACGCCCCAGGGTGTTTGGGGCAGGAGAAAGGCTCTTGGCTCCAGGTGCTAAGGAACCAAACTTCCTGTGACTGGCCAGATATCTGGATGGCTGGGAATTCATAAGGTTTCAACTAATAGCACTGCCTAAAGCCCTGGAGGCTTACAATCAAAGCAGGAAGGTTTGGTAATGCATTGCTTCTGAGAACACCCCACTGCCACGCCCTCCCCCATCCAAATCCTCTGCCTACAGTCTGATGTCTAAGGATGCACGCAGAGCAGCAATCCTTTGGCTTGAAATTTTGAAGGCCATCTGGGTGGCTCAGTCAGTTGAGCATCTGACTTCGGCTCAGATCATGATCTCACAGTTCTTGGGTTCAAGCCCCACAATGGACTCTGTGCTGACAGTGCAAAGCCTGCTTTGGATTCTCTGTCTCCCTGTCTCTCTGCCCCTCCCTGACGTGTAGCTTACACACACGTTCTCTCTTAACAATAAACATTTTAAAAAAATTTTTAAAGAAAGAAATTTTGAAAACTATTTAAATGCACATATCCTCAGAAGTGATATCCCTTTAGGCGTTACAGATCATCTCAACCTCAGGATGAATTCATGTTTGGGGCAATTAAGAATCTGAGGTGAGATTTTGCTGCAGAAGAGGTGAGACTATGGGAATCCTGTGTATCTGTGGACTACATGACAGAAAGGATGGTGACTGGGAAATTTGGGGAGAGAAGAACAGGAGAGGACATCCAGTTCCATCTGAGGCCCAGTCACTCTCCCTTCCAGCTCTTTCCTTTCCCCCCTCGTGTCCCCCTCTTTCTGAAGAAAGCATGAAGAATGGGCACCTATATCTTGGTGCTTTTGCCTCCACCTGCAATGGCCTTTCTCCTCTTTTCTGGTCATATGTCAAGAGCAAGCTAAAATATCACCTTGTTTGTGAAGGTTTCCCTCTGTGCCCCACTACTCCTTTACACTGTATGACTTTATCATCTCTCCTCATATTTCCCTTCCCCCAGAAACTGCACCTTGAAAGCAAGGGCATGCTCTTGTTTACCTCTCCACGGGGCAGTGCTTACCAGAGCCCCTGGTACACAGTAGGAGCAGACTCCGTGTTAAACGCAGGCATGAATGAACGGGAGCCAGCCCCTAGAGCGGCAGCTCCATTGAGGAGCCATCACAGAGACTGCAGGGTAGTCACTCACTCTGGCTCAGGCCCGGGCTCCAGCTTACCCCCACCCTTGGGAGCTGACTCAGAGCTGCCGCTCCCATGGCTTCTCCTTTACCATCATAACTTCAAGCCAAATAAGCGTGGCTCTAAGGCTTGAGGCTCTGCTACATCTCCAAAGGGAAGAGCCTGGATGGCAAATAACAGCCCATAGGCCAAGGGAATGCACCTCAGGCTAGACAAAGACGTGACCGGGAAAGGTCAAAGGAAGCTCCATGTTGCCAAGGCCTCAAAGAACAAGGCCCTTCGTGAGACAGTAATGGAAGTCGGTCCAGGACTCTTGATTCCTTCTGCCCAGGAACTCAGTGGCTCCCATTACATTCTGTGCTTGACACCAAACACATTTTGCAGAACAGTATCTCTCCCTGGTGTCCAGCTATAGACAGAGATCCTGAATAAATGGAACTACCAGGGCAGTGAGGTGTGGGAGCCTTAGGGCAGGAGTTTGCCTGTATTATTCACCTCTGGAACCCTGGTGTCCACCACATGGTAAGCACCCAATAACTGCTTTCTAATTAATTAATAAATTAACCAATCAGTTGATTAGTGAATTGCACAGAGAAACCAGAGCCAGAGGTATCCTTGCAAAAGGTATCTCACACTTTCTCCACACCGTGTACCCATTTGAACTTTCTGTACTATGTATTATGTATACACATTAACTATTCAAAAATAGAAAGCAGCATGCATAGAAGATCCCTTGAATGTAACAAGAGTTTTGAAAAAGAAGCAAAGAAAAAAATCTGT